TCGGTATCACACTTCACATACCTAAAAATCTTTATCTCATTTATTATTTTTTTCTCTTTTCATTCCCTCATTTCCCAAGTCATCTCACATAATCTCATAATCCACCATGAAAGTGACTCTCAGAACTTGGTTCATCTTTGGTTACCTCTTGGAAGTTTTCTGACTTCTCACTTTTACCACAACTTCGAATTTTTTTACCTGAAATAGGCTGACCGTCCTGGAAGATTTCTGACTTCTCACATCTACCACAACTTCAAACTTTTTACCTGAAATAAGATGACTCTCCTTACTCTTAATCTTACCCTCCTTATTCCTGAGGTCTGAATTGGATGCTTCCCTTGGGTGCTTCACAAAGGTCACACACTTCCTCTGTTGCTAGGGTGACTAATAATCTGCTTTAACCCTCCGCATTCCAGAGTTACTATAATAGAACCTCTTTTCATTTTCAAATGGGTCCCAACAGATCAATTTTTAATTGCAGATGTTCTTCATATGACCCATGGATCACGCCACTAACACGCAGCAGGAATTGAATAGAGACTTGTTGAGGGAGTGAAGCATTGAGTCAAACTGGGACTCTTCTGTGAAATAATCTTATTTTGACTTATTGCCATTAACCTTGATGAGTTTGTTGTCCATTCACATTGGGTCTCCTGAGGGCAGGGCCCACTCTCCTCCCACATGCCCTTCTTGGGAACTGATGAGAATTCAGTCATAGTTCAGTGAGCCCGTGACTGAGTTCACATTCCTCACATGCCAAACAGGTGTCCTGGGCTCTGGAGTGGGTGGACAGGTAGCACAGCTGTATCTCCCTCTTGTGGCTATCATATGAAACTCTTCACAAAATCCTTCATGGCTGTAACCGCAGCCTCTCGGTAGGTGATTCCATAGACCTCAATCCCAATTCAGATAAGATCTGGGCATCAGTATTTTAAAAATATACTCCATTAACTAGTATTTAGATAACCTTGGGAAAATTGGCAAGTGTGGGTCATGCTTAAGTGACCAGTTGATCACTTGATAGATTTACTTCTTGGTTTAACAGCGTAGTTAGCTATGCAAAGATGACTAGGCAGCCAGTATGTTTCTGAATTGGTGGTTCTCAATTGGCAGGACATTTGACCATTCTGAAGACATTTTTTTTTTGATTTATTTATTTGCACATACAGAAGTGGGGTACAGGTCAGAGGTTCAGGGGCGGCGAGAGGCTTCACCAGAGACAGAGTGGGGAGCAGAACAGGCAGATCGACGAAGTACACTGCTGAGGGGAGCAGCGGGCGGGCCAGGAGAGGTCTGCCACACCATGTGGTCACCTCCGGGGCAGGCGGGGATCGAACTCATGCGCAAGTGGCTTTTGCTTCTTAGTGCTGTGCTTTAACCCGCTGCGCCACCAGGGAGGGCCCTGAAGACATTTTTGATTGCCATAACCAGGAGGCAGAGATTTGCTAATAACATCTGGAGGCTAGAAGCCAGGGATGCTGCTAACCATCACCCAATGCACGCACAGGACAGTCCCATGACAAACACATATCTGTATCAAAATGTCAACAGTTGCTAAGGTTGAGAAACCTGTTGTAGGTCTGCTCCACAAGGGGAATTTGGAGATGTTCGGAAGGGGATTACTCTGGCAGTGACAAAAAAAAAAATTAAACAATCCTCTAAACATAGTTCTCTTCTACACTTGGAAGAGGTTCCTGACTAGTGTGGAGAGCACACGGCTAAGCCTTGCCCACACCCTAGAAAGGTGACAAGCTCTCAGCTCATGAAATCAAATCAGATGGCTTCAGTGTTCCATAACTATAACCCAGACCCAAGCGCATGCAATGTAACGTAGGCTGTGCTGTGTGCACTCTAGGTAACATTAGACAAAAAGGGCAACTCCCTTGATGAATTGTCTGTATTTATTCATTGCAAGGAGGTAGAAAAAAGAGCTTCAGGAAGAGCAGTGATTTGCAGTGATCAGTGGCAGCCCAGTTAGCAGACACCCCCTCAGCCGTCATATCCCACTTTGTGACAGTGCCCTGAAAGGGGCTGGGACGCCACCCAGTTGCATTTTGGAACACCAGTTCCTTAAAAGGGAGATGAATCTGTTCCTTCTAAGTTCTCCAGAATTGAAAATGTTCAGTAGAAGGGAAATGCTGATAGAAGGGAAATTATCAGTTGTGTGTGCATGCGTGCATGTGTGTGTGTAAGCCTGAGGAGAAGGAGAGCTCCAGTTCTCTCATGGAGAGATGGGAGAGGAGAGTAAGGCTATAATTCGCAGGGTTCTCTGCTTTCCCTCTTGAGCCTGGGCTGCTGGGGGCAGACACATATCCAGCACGGGGTGCAGGTCACCTGAAGACTTCCCACCACAGTCACCTTCCCAGTGAGGACTTGAGCAAGGTCAGGGACTTTCAAGGAATAGCCTCTTTTTTCCTGCACATCCACCAGATAGAATTCAGTCAGAAGTAAGACCCAAGTGGTAGGAATTGAGCTCTAGAGCAAGCGTAGTTGCAGTAAAGGAGCAAAAGTCAGACCAGAGGGCATGAACCCTTGTAAATAGCTGCTAGATTTTCAGAAAAGCCAGTGAATGCCCTACGGTTAATAAGGAGTGATGCAGGGGCATTTTGGGGCCTGTTCAGTGTTGCATTCCCTTGAATTCCCTTAATCATAATGGGCAGAGCCCACCAACCACGATGAAAGTAGAAAATGCTGATATTCTTGGAGGTGGGATCTGGGCACGCAGCCAAAGATTATCCACGCAGCCCCAGACTGAATTAGAAGCTAGAGATGAAAAGATGAAGGGATATTGGAGAAGTCACTCTGGTACAGACAAAGCTATAGCAAGGTGGAGTGCCTCGGTCGAGTGGAAGCAGAGGGGTACTGGAGCGTGGGTCTCGTCCTAGGGCAGCAGCAGTGATTTAGGGGCTGGGGGGGCGCTTGTGATTGGGCCATCCTCCCAACCACAGCCTCAGCCCCCTTCTCCTGTGCATTTTCAAACTTTGGTTTTATAGACCCTTCTAGAGTTATGTGAACCAACCAATATCTTCTCAGTAGACTTCCTTGTACATAAATAAGCCTAGTGTTGATTTCTGATGATTCCAACTAAGAACACATTGATGAAATTGGTACCAGGAAATGAACCACACCAGAATGTAATGCGGATAGAGGTAAGATTCAAGGTAGTAATATAACAGTGGTATCTCCATAAAAAGAGGAAGCTCCATATTCCCTGACTCACCTAATGAGGGGCAGAGCTGAGTGGCCAGGTGAAGCTATGTAACATGAAAGGCAGGTGGGCTCAGGGGGAGACCCACAGAGAGACAGACAGATATAGGAAGAGAGACACATGGAGAAGGACCTGCTTGCTTCTCAGCTTTGGACTTGTACCAGGGATTTGGGGGACTTGGAAGGGACATATAGTACCCTTGGAAGAGACACATGACACACACACACAGGTGGCTGACAATGGCACATGACACACACACACAGGGTGGTTGACAATGACAGGCTTTATCTTGATTTGTAATTTAATTTTGCTTCTTTTATCCCAGACTTGCCTGGCCCTGTCTGCCCTTTCCCTATGGTTCCCTGCCAGAAGGCACCTTAAACTTGTGGCAAGGTTTTGGGCCTCAGAGGCCCTGCTTTAGGCCAACCCTGTTTGGCTGGGCATTTACCCACAAAGTAATGGGTCACTTGGGTGTTTCATTGGGAAATTATTATCCTTTCTTCTCTTCCCTCTCTCTGCCCTAAATTCTATTAAAATTTTTTTATACTCTCAAAGTTTCTTTGTCTTTGTGCATATGGATGACTGGACCCCTTAGAGGATCCTGGGGTTCCCCTAATCTCCCTGCTAGAACCAAAGAACATAAACCAAAAAGTTGTGACCTCTGGTACATGATTGTAAAATAATTGATGATTTCTTAATGCCCACTGAAGTCACCCAAGAATCTACAAGAAAGAAAGGTTTATAATGAAGAGGACCTGTTTGAAAGCAGAGAATAGGGCTTTCTTAAAAGAGATTTTTGCCATAGAGACTCTTAGGCTTCATGTTTGTTGTCTGATAGAGCGAAGAAGAAACTATGATTTAAAAATTATTTTGGCAGCCCTCCCTAGTGGTGCAATAGGTTAAAGCACTGTGAAGCTCTCTGCAGCCACTGCAGCACGAGTTCAATTCCCAGCCAGGGAGGTGACCCACATGGTGTGGCAAACCTCTCCTGTCTCACCTGCTGCTCCCCTCAACAGCGTATTTCAGTCAATCTGCCTGTTCTGCTTCCCACCCTGTCTCTGGTAAAGCCTCTCACTGCCCCTGCACCTCTGACCTGTACCCTTGGTCTGTATGCATAAATAAAATGTTTTTTTTTAATCTGAAATTATTTACATCCTATTATTCAAAACTCAGAGACCTCAAAGTCACATTTGCAATTTATTTACTGTATAGCTTCTGGACTTTACAAATAAAATACTCTATTAGCTTCTTTTATAGAATATATCTCAGAGTGTTTTACAGATCACAAGGAGCTCAATCCTTGTTACCCATCCAGAGAGAGAAACTGATGCACAGAGCCTCAACAGGTCTGGATCTTGATGGGAATCAGCTCCCAGAACAAGCTCCGGCAGCCAAATCGTTCCCTGGTGCTGTGGCTGTGGGTCGGCAGCCTGAGACGGGTACAGGATGGCCTGGCCTTCTGCCATTCACCTTTATTGTCCAGTCCCAGCAAAGAGCAGACCCCTGGCCACCTGGACTCCCCTGGAACCACATTCTCCATTGTCTGTTCCACCACGAGGCGGGAGCTCTGTTTCACCCTCTCTGTTGTGGGCCTGTCCCTGTGGAGCATGTCAGGTACTTAGGAGCCCACATCCTGGTCCATCTCACAGGTGGAAGTGGAGAAACATCACCAGGGAATTGATCAGAGAAGAGATGGTAGAGCAGCATGGGGAACTTGGGGCTGGGGCCAAGTTCAGCATTTATTTCACTTCCTGCATTTTCGTTCAGAAAATCCCTTGGCTGGCCAGGCGTGTCAGCTCTCTGGAGGCATCACACTGGCATAGACAGTGATGGAGGTTAGTTCCTGGGGGTAAAACAGATGTCATAAAGGAGAGCCTGGCGCCCACTCTACAGGGGCAAATGCAAACAGCTGCTTAGGAGAAGACAAGGGTCTCTGGGTCAGGCGGCATTTGGAATTGTCATGGGCTGGGTGGCCTTTAGATGTAGCCAGAGGCAGTGCCCAGATCCCTGGGCAGCCTGTCCCCCACACAGGGAGGGCAACAGCTCCATTTTCCTTTAGGACACCACCAAGCAGCCATGGAGGTTTCCTTGAAGCCCTGCAACTGAGGTTGTGTGTCCCTTGCGGCCTGCTTGCTGGGACCCGCCCGTTCTGTCAGGCCTCTGCTTCCTTTCAGTTCTACCCTCCTCCAGTATTCCTCCCCAGAGAGGGGCTCAGCAGGGCCTCACCGGGGCAGGTTCCAGGACAGGCTCCGCGGCAGCAACATAAATGGTGGTACAGGGGTCCTGGGCTGGCAGGGGATCCGGTTTCTTATGAACAGACTACAAGAGCAACAATAGCAAGAGATTAGCAGAGCAGGGAGTTATTTCCCATCCCACTGTCCCTTGGAAGAAACACAGTTGCACGAAGATTTGAGTTAGAATTGTTTGGTCCATTCTCTTTCCTGGGTAGAAGTTTCCCCCAGCCCCCATTCCCTGGCTCTTTGTGAGATCTCCCCAGTGACACTGGCGCTCACAGCCTCAGGAGCAGCGTAATTCATCACTAGCTCTTCCCAGAGGCTGTCAACTCTTCCTCACAGTAGGCATGGCCCTAACAGCCCAGCTAAAGGTAATGGGGGTCTTCTGGGTGTTTTGGTCTATCTCACTCGCTATCAGCCACAAGCAGAGCTCATTGCACCCCAACGCTGCTGTTCCTCACTCTAATACTGTATCTCGCTGCTTGTTTGTCCTGCCCAGACACTGAACTGATAGCCATACAGATGTGAGTGTGCTGATGTCTGCAAAATTCACGTCTTCTCCTTTGCCTCACAGCCCCTCTCTCTATGAAATACTGCTGCTACTCATCTGTAACAGATGAAGAAGCTAAAGCCCAAAAATATTTGGTACTTTCCTAGTGGACACATTTGAGAAGCCAGGAGTCCCACCAAGTTCTTGTAACTTAAAAGCTTATTATCATAGTCTTCTCCTTTGGTTACCCTAACTTATAATGCCTTTTCTTTTGCCCAAATTTCTCAGGTATTTAGGTCACACTTTATGGGACTCTACTGTATGCTGTATTGAAAACACATGCTATATTTTCCCGTTGTCTCTCTAAACGGACTCTAAATTCATTGAGGAATAGCCTATATTTCTTTTCATTCTCTACAAAGCAGAGCTGGGCACATAACCTCCTCCCCACCCCACCCCCCACTACCCTGGCCCAGCTGATGTCAGTTGATATTACTTTGAGTTATTCAAAATCTATGATGCTGGGACCAAGCAGGGTAGGGGTGAAGGATGGCCACGTCTCTGTGAGGTAAAACCATCCTTTCAACACCCTTTGAGGGCTGGGTGTAGGCTGCGCTGTCTTCCACTTCTCCTGGAGATAGAGCAAGACTTGAAACTACAGCCCGTTGTTTTAATGGAAAAGATGTTGGCATTTTGCTATCTGATGGAAGAGGTAAAGAATTGGAAAGTTGACAGTTCTTTCTGTTCATATAGTTGGTGGATTGCCTATAGAAGAGGAATTAAATTTCTCCTGGACACCATTTCTGGTTTAAACAACGGTTGGAATTTTAGGGACATGCTTTGACTCAAAATAATAAAGAACTCTCTAATAGTTAAAAGTGCTCAAATGGGGGATGAGCTGCCTTGCGAGGCAATGACTTTCCAGTTACTGAAAGTATGTGGGTTAGATCAAGGATTCTCACACTTTAAGGTGCATGTGAGTTACCTGGGTTTCTTATTAGAAGGTAGTGGATTCTATTTTGGAAGGTCTAGGTTGGGACCCAAGATCCTGCATTTCCAGTAAAGTCCCAGTTGATGGTGATGATACTTTTTCACAGATTACATTTTAGTAAGAGAAGGAATGTTACAAGAAAAGTCAGGCAGTAATTGAATGATTCAAATAGATGATTTTCAAAATAAGTTCTAGGGCCTTAAATCCAATGACAAGGGCCTTTGTAAGAGACAGAGAAGGAGAAACAAAGACAGAGACAGAGAAGAAAATTATGTAGAGATGTTACAGGGCACCACAGTGTGAACTGGGCTGCCTGTCTTTGGGGCCTCACCTATGCACTAAAAATTCAGTTGTACTGCAGACACACACAAAAGGGTCAATAATGGGTTTATTTTCAAAAAGGGAAAGGAAAAGGAAACAACCCAGGGAAAGAGAGAGAGACAAGGTAACTAGAATATCTTACTGGCTTGGCTGACTTGGAGCTCTAGTAACAAACTAACTGAAAAGCCCCCGAGAGCCAAGAGCTGATGGGAGAGGGAGAGGGAGAGAGGGAGGGGGAGAGGGGGAGGGAGATGCAATCACATCCTATTTATCCCCCAAATGTCCCAGCATTCCTGCTAGCTCCGCAGCTCCGCCCTTGGGTCCTTACAGTTCTCTCCCTGGTACTGCTGGGAATTGTAGTTTCCAATCACTGCAGTAGGGGGTGGAGTCCAGAAAGCTGGAGTAGGGGTGGAGTCCACAAAACCCTGCAGAGTTCCTTCAGGACATCCTTCCCCTTAATAGAGATGGAGGCGGAAATTGGAGTGATGCAGCTAGAAGCCAACAAATGTCACAGAGCACCTGGAGCTACCAGATGCTGGATGAGCAAAGAAACATTCTCGCTAAGAGCCTTCAACCAGTATGGGCCTTGCTTGGTTAAACACCACAGGTGATTTAAAGGCATAGGATCACACCTCTTCAGATATATGTCAAAATTTTTTAAAAAGAGAACATTGATGATAGTGTCCTAAAGTATCAAATGCTCAAATGGCAAGTAGTAAATGATAAAGGCTACCCAAATCCTCTTATGCAGAAAACTATAAAACATCACTTAGAGAAGGTAAAGAAGCTAAGAAAGGACGCACCATTTTGTGAATTAAAAAACTCAATTACTATAAATATTCATGTTCTGTTCAAACTGATCAATGCATTTCTAATTAAAATTCCAGCAGGATATTTAGTAGGAACTTGACAATTATATATATATATATATATATATATATATATATATATATATATTATATATATATAATATGTATATATATATAATATGTATGTGAAAAAGAAAAAGGCAAAAAAAATGGTCTAGAATTCTTGAAAAAGGAGATGGGAGGAAGAGAGATGACTCATTTTACCAGACATCAAAGCCTATAACAGATTTGTAAAGACAGTGTGGTAATGGTGGGTGTACAAAAAATAGATGAATGGAGAAGACCAGAGAACTTCAATATATATATTTGCACCTATATAAAGACCCTTGGTTTATGATGAAGGTTGCCCTGCAGTGGGGCACAGATAATATTTTCAAGAACTGGTCAATAGGATACTTGCTAACATATAAGTGCTCCAAAGCTAAAAGCTTTTCAAAAAACCAATGCATCAAAAATCCAGAAACACAGCCCTCTCTGGTGGTGCGGCAGGTTAGAGCACAGCACTAAAAAGCTAAAGCTACTTCAGCATGAGTTCAATCCCCGCCCAGGAGGTGACCATCATGGCGGGCAGACCTCTCCTGACCCGCCCACTGCTTCCCTCAGTAGTGTACTTCGTCAGTTGGCCTGTTCTGTTCCCCTCTCTGCATCTGAATCCTCTCACCGCCCCTGTACCTCTAGCCTGTACCCCAGTTCTGTATGCACAAATAAATAAATCTTTAAAAAGTAAAAGCCAGAAACACAAAGAAAATAGAAGATTTAACAAGTGCTTTAAATAGAGGATTTTTTTATTATGAGCATATTAATATGACCAATAGATATATAAAATGTTGTAAAACTCTCTTAAAGTTAGGGGAATACAAAATTAAACCATAAAACCATGTCCTGCTGAATGACTAAAATTAAAAGAACTGATAATGCCAAGTTTTGATTAGGATGTGCAGCAACTGGAACTCTTATATGTAGCTGATAGAAAAGTAAATCAATACACCTACTTTGAAAACAGTTTGGCCTTGGGCCCTCCCTGGTGGCGCAGTGGGTTAAGGCACAGCACTGAGAAGCTAAAGCCACTTCAGCATGAGTTCTATCTCTGCCTGCCCCCGAGGTGACCACATGGCGCGGCAGACCTCTCCTGACCTGCCCGCTGCTCCCCTCAGCAGTGTACTTTGTCGATCTGCCTGTTCTGCTCCCCACTCTGTCTCTGGTGAAGCCTCTCGCCACCCCTGAGCCTCTGGCCTGTACCCCAGTTCTGTATGCACAAATTAATAAATCTTTAAAAAAAAAAAAAGAAAGAAAGAAAACAGTTTGGCCTTATTTAGCAAATCTGAAGATATGCATACTCTTATTGTAGATTCAGCAGCGCTACTTCTAGGCATAGTACCCAACACAAACATGTGCACATTGAAAAGACAATAGCTGCAATTTTCATAGAAGCCTCAAACTAGAAATAACCCAAATATCCACCTACAGTCATTTGAATAAGTTAACTAGTAAATTTATATGTTAATATTTTATAAAGTGTTGAAAATTAATGTATTATATTTAAGCTCAAAGATATGTATGGATTTGATAAATATAAACTTGAGAAGAAGAAATAAAAACAAGAGGAAAGATAATTCCATTTTTATAAAGTAAAAGAAAAACAGCAGCAGAAGACTGTTATATTTTTAGAAATGATATCTTTGGGGAAGAGAGAGTGGCTCTGATTGGGAGCAGCACAAGATTTGTGTGTGCTGGCACTGTTTTGTTCCTTGTTTTGGGTGTTAGTTCCATGGAATGAGAAGGCTTAATAATGAAAGATGTAATTTCTCCTCAAATAGATCTGCTTATTTAATGCATTCCTAGTAGGAATCCTTTTTCCCGTTTGTGGCACTACACAGAATTAAACCTGGTTATCTGAGTGTGTGGGAGTGAGGGTGGAGGTTGCTCTTGGGAACTCCTACACTTAAATGGAAATTATTGCCAATGGTACTCAAGACCTGTGTAATTAATCCTCCACACCACTAGGGGACAATAAAAATAAAAACTTTTTTTTTAAGATTCATTTTCTTAGGAGAAAGAAAGGGAGCAAAAGATGCTTGCACAGACACAATAGAGCAGAAAGAGCTGGAAATAGAACTTTATCCAGGAGTTCGTCTCTAGTTATCAGAAATTCTTTATTGTTATCTGATGGAATTTTATAAGGCACTAACGAAAGCTATATTTACTATCACAACCTTTACTCCAGAATTTGCCACACACACAGGGAATGGGCAAAGTCTTATTCCTACATCACCTTGAGTTGCTTTCCTATCTGAAAAACTATATTTTTATATCAAACTATAGTCTCCTACCTTCTTCCTTTTAGCACATCTGCTCCTCACCTTTATCATGACTGGTTTTTTCATACCTCTCTTCTGTCTCAGTCCAACTCCATCACAGTTTTGCTTTCTTTATTCTCCAGCCTACATGGCATTCTCCACATGGTAACCACTCTCTAGTTATTAACTACATCCTCAGGAACCTCCTTCCTTGTCTCTTTGGCACTTTGCAATCTTCTCAGACTTGGTCAGACAAAACCACCACATAATTGTGCTCCTAAATTTTTCCTCTCTCTTCAAGCCTGCCCTCAGAGAAGCAGAATTTGATAACATGAAACCATTGACTCTAGATTGTCAGAGCACAGAGGAGTCATAAACCATGTACCTCTAGCTTCCTCATTTTTTTCCTAAGAAGAAACAGATAATCAGAATACCCAGTGTTTTCCATTATTTCAAATAACAAACAGTCCCATATAATACCAAAGTTTCATGCCTTTAAAAAGCACTCCTGTTCTTGACTTCTGCTTCCCTAATTTCATTTTGTCCCCATGTAAATTAATGTCCAACATACAAAGTGGAATGGCCAAACACAAGTGTAGAAAAAGATGTTCAACCTCCCTCATAATCAGGGAAAGCAAATCAAAATCACAATGAGATACCATGTTACACCAGTAAGAATGTCACATATTAAAAAAACTAATAACAAATGTTTGATGAAGACATGGAGGAAAAGGAACTCCCTACACTGCTGGTGGGAATGCAAACTGGTACAAGCACTATGGAAAGCTGTGTGGAGGTTCCTCAAATGGAGCTCCCATATGATCCAGCAATTCCACTCCTAGAAATCTACCCAAGGTCACAAAAACCTTGATCCAAAAGAATACCCGTACCCTTATGTTTATTGAAGCTTACAATAGGAAAACTTGGAAACAACCCAAATGCCCCAAACTAGATGACTAGATCAAGAAGGTGTGCTATATATACACAACGGAATACCATTCAGAAATCAAAAATGATAAACTCATGCTATTTGCAGCAACATGGATGGAGCTAAAGGAATTATGTATGCCCAGTGAAGTCAGTCAGAAGAAGAAGAAAAATACTGGAGAGATACAGGGGAACCAAATAAGGGGTCAGAGGAAAAACAACAGCAATAAAAAATACAACAAGCAAAACAAAAATAAACAGATAAATATAAATCAGAGACATTCTGCAAGGGAGAGGGCTCAGAATGAGGGAGCGAAAGGCACAGGAGACTATGGAGATGGGACTTGGTTGAATTGGTGGTGGAAATTCTATAGGACTACACCTTAGAAAAGAAAGCAAATACTGTACAAAAGTGAATAATGATGTAAAATATCAATTAATTAATTAATTAATTTTTAAAAAGTGTTCTGGCCAGGCATTGCATGGGAAATTTGATGGACCCACCCACAAGACAAACAAAGTGTAGAACTTACACCTGATTTCTGGACTTGGGCATAGATAGTACGGTTTTTCCCTTCCATCGTTGGCTGGTTATGATCTATTTTACCTGGTAAAATGAAATCACAGTGGTTATTTCTCTCTGGTTCCCAATGTGAACACTGAGCTCAGACCTGCCTGGTCTTTCCCCTCCTCCATCTCCCCTCCACCCTGGAACACCACCTTCCCCAAGAGCAGCACAGGCACAAAGCACTGATCCCAGGACCCTGTATACTTGTCACTCGATCTAGGTTACTGTCATGAACTCTTTGGGTGTCCCTCTCCTTTCTGTGACACGGGACTGAAATACCTGCTTCACAAAGCTGTGTGATGATTCCTTGAGCTAGTACTTGTGTTCAGAACTGCCTGACATACAGCAAATCCCCTACATGTGTTAGATGTAATTGGTAACCATTCAATTTTCATTTTGCTATATATTGTTTGATGTGCATGACCTGGCCTCCTAGTAGAATTCTGAGTTTTTTGAGGACAGGGCTAGTGATTTACACCTCTTTTGTATTTTCCAGGTTGTAGCATCTTGCTTCTCCCGCAGCTTTCTTGCCTCCCTATTTCTGGGGGACTTGGTGTGTGCAGGGGAGAGCAGGTATAAAGAGGATGATACACCTGCTACCATTCAAAAAGTAAACCTACAATGTCATTCTAATGCGGACTATTGGGAAATTTTGTTCAGAACTTAGAATCTCTGCAAATTAATAAGCTGTAGAACATTTTCTTTTTAACTAGTTTTAAAATCATTTCTTTTAAAATTATGGAGATAATCCATTCTCATTAAAATTAAAATCATAGAGTAAAAATTAATGTCATGTAGAGTAAAAAATTATGATCCCTGATCCATTAACCACCACAGTTTCATTGCCAGAAGTAATTGCTTTTAACTTTTGAATGCACATCCTTTCCAGACTAGCTCTGTATACAATAGTCTTTCTGTGATGATGAAATGTCCCTTATCTATCTAGTATGGTAGCCTGTGGCTACTGAGCTGTGGCTAATGCAGCAAAAGGAATGGATTCTAGATTTTATTTGATTCTGTTTAACTTATAGCTAAGCAGCCACATTTAACCAATGGACTGCCAGTTAAACAATGCAATTCTAGGCATTGTTCTAGTTCCACGGGTATCTTTATTCTAATAAATCATTTGACACACACTTCTCTGTAACTTGACCTTTTCATTTATAATGTGCTGAGGATGTTTTCCACAATAGTGCAGTGGGCTTAACTCACTCTTTCCAATGTTTCATTCTTTTCATGTGTCATGTAGTAGTGAGAAAGGTGGAGAGAAATAAGTCTAGGCAGAGACAAAGGAGGTTTGACCCAAATGAAATCACACCAGTGTTTAGGTGGACTTATTTTAATATCAATTATTTTATCTTCTTAAAAAACTAAGAGCATGTCTCTAAGACAGCAGAACGTAGCCAGTATTCATTTGGAAGGGACAAATATTAGTATGTACGTCTGCATGGTGTGTGTGCATGTATGTGTGTAAGTATGTGGTGAAGGAAGTGTAAGGGGAACATGATTAGGTATGCTTTGGGGAGATAGTGATGGACAGCCGGCGGGAGCTCAGAGAATGACTGAGGAGTGTGTGTGTGTGTGTGTGTGTGTGTGTGTGTGTGTGTGTGTGTGTGTGTGTAGAATGGAAGTAGAAGTTGGGTGAGCAGAGAAAGTAGCAGAGGGGATTTCAAATTAGTTCTATGAAATATATCCTTTCGATTCTGATCCAAAAATGTTTGCAAAGCTAGGAAATCCCACCTAGCACTGTTCTTGGTACTATAAAAGAAACAAATTGAGAATAGAACTTTCTGTCTGTCGGGTCAAAACAGACTGAAATTTAGAATGGAAACAGTCTGAAATGGGAGGACAGATGGGGAAATGTAGGTCAAATGTTACTTTTCCAGAAAATACTGGGTTGAGGTAATTTAGTCTCATGTTTCTCTTCCCAGTGCAAGATGTTCAGGAGCTAGCCCAACCTGCCTTGAAGTCAGCGAGGTCTTAGCATCCACTGAAAAAGGTCCTAGCCTTAAGATTAGGCCACGTACCTTCTAGATCTCACTGACTGTGTGGCACTGGACAAAATGTCATCTCATTGGATCTCCTCTTACCATAAGTACAAAATCAATGTGTAGACTGACTCTCGTCCTCATCAACTCTCAACTGAGGCACAGAGTTGTGCTTCCAAGAGTTAAATCCTTCAATCTGCTGAATGCTGCTCCCAGTGCTGCCCTCTGCTGGTTGTAGGACTTCCACAACGAAGCTTTAATTCACCTACAAAAAGGCTATGTGTTGGGGTGTGTGTGTGTGTGTGTGCGCGCGCGCGCGCGTGTACGGGCGCGCGCTTCCGCGCTCTCCCTCTCTCTATCTCCTGTCGGCCTGTCTGTCTATCACCTCTCCATGGAAACTACTGTATTAATGCTTTCTGGGTACTGACTCACAGATTCCTACCACAAAACCATAATAACCTTATCACCACTTTACAGAGGAGAGGTTGTCATTGTTCAGTCACACAGCTTGTAAGTGACAAGTTTGCTTTTGAATATTGGTTTGTCCGATACTAGAACCCATGTGCTTAATGAGTGTATTCTCCTGGACAAGGGCTTGCCAGCGTTCCTTTGGAAACCTTAATAGATGAACCAACTTAAAATCTCTTCCCAAAATTTCTCTGTGTGTGTGTGCGCGCGCGCGCGTGTGTGCATAGGGGTGGGCGTGGTACAGCTATTAAGTATAGCTTTTTCCACTGGTTTGAGGTAGAGTTTGTGTGATCTTCGTTTATAAGGAATACTCGGAGATAAGGGTGAGGATGTGTGAGGGAAGGGTGGTGGGCATCACAGCGGGATGGCCAGCCCTGGTCCCTTAGAACACAGCCAGGGGATGGGCAGAATGTAGTGCGGAAGGAGTATAGTGACGCCCACTACCCCACTGGCCAGATGGTACGTTAAACTCAGTTGTCTCAATACTGTTACCTCATTATTTTTTTTTATAACAGTTTACTTTTACATCATTTTGTACATTTTTTTTTCTCCATCTCAATTGTAATCCCCGTGGTTACCTCACTATTTTTATAGTGAGGTATTTTTATTGCCTGAGGGAAACGTAGCTACCCTGGCCCTTCTCCGTTAGGCTCCCCTCGTGATTTCTATCTGAATCACCCAACCCGGTATCGCCCACAGCAAACTCTTGGGTGGAGGAAGTGAGACAAAAGTAGGTAGTTGAGCTATGATGTAGATTTTCTTATATAAGCAAAACCAACATCAGAGTGCTGAGGTAAGGGCTTTTCCGAGGAGGTGGCACGTGGAGAATATTGATTTACTTGAGAACAAACAGGGCCCTCAGTTTGGTGACCTGAGTACTGGGTTCACAGTGGGAAGGAGCCCAGGATCTGGCCTGTCTGGGACAGAACAGACTCCCTTCAGACTCCTGTATGGGTGGGAGGTGGACCATGTGTCCCTAAGATAATGAGTCATTGGCAATTTGGAAGAGACGGGAGATACTAAAGCACAAGGGAATAACTGGGTCTTTATGGTTTGGGCCCCTCCTGCTTACTTCCACCCTATTTAGTGTAACATTAAGCAATTCATAAATTTTATGCTTTCCCAAATGAGCAGGAAGCTGTGTTAAAATATTAATAAAAAGAGTTCTTTCTGCTCTTTTTCTGACAACCTGTGGATCATCTGATCTGAACCTACAGTGCTAGAGAGGAGATGTGGTTAACATTCTGGCTTTCTTATCAACCAGTTGGGTCACCTTGTACAAGTCACTTAGCCTCTCTGAGCTCTGTCATGCCCACACTCTGTGAGCTCTGCCCCACAAAAACTACTGTCCCTCTTCTTCCAGAGAACATTGAAGAGTTAAGAAACTGTTGAAAGGTATCAACACTTGGATGAAAGCATCTTATAGTGTCTTTTTATTAGTCAGTAATTAGAATTTTCTTGGGTGAGAGCCAAGGGTACTATTTATGTGACTCCTGTCACTCTTGTCTGGACCTATTGGCAGACTGAATTGTTTCTCCGCAGGCTAATCACACTGGACTGTAATGTTTCCATGTCAGATAGCTGTGGTTCGTGGCTTTCTAGCCTCATAGCCTACTGGAAGGTGTCAAGATGTTCAACCGGACCATTGTGTGCAGTCCTAGGATATGCTTATTTAGTCATTTTGCAAAGGCCTTCATGCATAAAACCCAAATGGTGAGAGCAAGTCTGTGCTTGTGGGAAGAGGTCTCCCACTTACCACAGATAAGAATCTCTTTATTGTCAGACACCTACCTTTTCTTCTCAATAGTAGTATTACCGCTTGGATAATCATGACGACACCAATGATGCCCCCTAAGACCAGCCCAGCATACAGTCCCCATTGTGGTGTTACTGAAAAAAAATCAAAAGGTATTCTCAAAAGTACTGTGGATTTTAAAACATCTTACATGAAAGGGGAGACAAAGCTCCCATCTCTCACTACTTTCTCTCTCAAGGGAGACATTCCTTGGACGGCTTTAGACATGAGCATTAGGCCAATGAAGAAGTCCATATCTGTTTTCTTCTCCTAATTTCTCTCACTAGACTTCCTTATCATATTCCTAATTTCTGTAATGATTTTTCTGCTCAAATACTTAATTTTCACCACACTACCACATTTCTAAACTTAGACTGACCGCTTTCTCCTGAGTGAGTCTCTCTACTCAGAGACCCTGTTTTTAAATCTCAGGTGTGTCCTATGTCCATTTTGGTACAAAGAACACGATAGCATCACATGTTGTCTCCAAACTCCCACACACATTCTCATGAGACACTAGGAGGAAGAAGGATTTACTATTTTTTAAAAAATAAACACAATCATGCTATTTACATCCTTCCATGCAAATAACTATATTGAGCCCTCTGGACCTGAACTGAGAGAAAAGCATGTGGTTTTTCTCCTCAATCATAAATCCCACATATTAGCCCTGGAGTAGCATTCCCCCAGGCTCAACATCAGACAACCAATTTTTACTGCTTTTTGTCTTTTACCCACTTTACCAAATCCTTCAGGAGCAGCAGTTGGAAAACAGTGACTGAGATCTATTATTTCAGTAAGGAAGACATAGCTCAATAAGATAATAGCAGACGATTGTGGGGCATTTACAATGGGCCACGCTTTGTTTTTTCTAAGTGCATCATATCTGCTGTAATATTTAATCCTCACACCAATCCAATGGGGTTGGTATGCTCATTATTCCTAGCTTATGGTTAAGGAAGCAAGCACTGAGCTCCCCAATATCCAGAGCTTTTTCTAGGAGTAGAAATGTGGCTGAATATTGAAGACAGAATTCTTGGAGAGTTGGAGAGACTTCGGACTTGGGGCAGACTGCACCCAGGGTGGGAACAGTGGGGGCCAGTCTGACACAAGACACTTCTATGTAAATTAATAACAGTATTGTCCAGTCCAGTATATTACAGTTCTTCATATTCATGTGTAAGGGTCATTGTACAGGTGGTTGTGGGGGAAACCTGCATTTTGTTAAAACTGTGATGGATTTGTTGAAGGGAAGGAAGTTACCAGAGTATTGCAGACAGAATGTAAAGGGTTAGAGAGTTGACTAAAGCCAGAGACTGAAGTCTCAGTGAATTGATAAAAGGCATCACACCAAGATGCAACTGGGCCTTCATTTGAGAGCTGAACCAAAGTTGCCTCCTGGTTTTGAGAAGATTCTCTCTTTCTTCCTAAGCTTTTAATACATCAAGCTGTTTCAAGGTCTCTCACTGAACTGGCTTTGTGGACATCTTGATTAATATAGATTCTCATCCCAAATTAAATATGTTAGATTCCTGTCTGTTACCAGCATCAGCAGTGTCCTAAGACTGATCAAAAGCCAACCGCAAGCAAAGAGCTGTAATAAGACTCCTGAGTTTATATAAGGGCTTCCATTGAGCATGGAACCCCTGAGGAGGCTGGAGCTGCCTGGAAGCCTGTCTCCCCTGAGTTACCACAGTGCAGGCTGATCACCACTGAGAGCCCTCTGTGAGGAAGAGAAGTGTGTGTGTGTGTCTGAGAGAGCTAAGGATTAAAAAATGAATTGATTAATTATTCAAAATTTATAATGCAACACCAGTAACCCCAGAACTCTGAAAGGAGGTGTGACAACAAATAGCTACAGTATTTCTTCCTATTTTTAGAGTACTTCCTCTTTCTTCTTCCCTCTTATATTTTGAAACCTAAAATACACAGTTAACTGAAGAACAAAGAAACCTTTAACTCATTTTAAAAGCTAATGTTTAATTTCATTTCAGAAAAGTAAAATAAACACTTTTCATTTAAAAGTAAAATAACGTAAAAGTAAAATAACCTACGTACAAAGTAGTGCCTCTAGAGCCAGAATATGGCAGGTCACATCACCACCTTCATGGCCCTGGGATCCTTTCTCCTGTTCCCTGGGTCTGGGGAGCCCAGTTCTGCCTCGACCCCCGCTCCTCCCCAAACCTCCCCCCAACACACACACACATAAACTAACAACAGGAACACATGGCTGAGGCCACAAGACACAGTGATGCCAGCCTCTCTTTCCAAGGGTCTAGCACCAAGAAGGTCCTCTGCACCCCTTGTCCTGGGACATAGAAGACCAACCCACCCCTGGAAGGGCTTACCCTGAGTGAAGTGAGCCACTGCCTGACCTCCCTTACATGTGAGCTAGAGAAACTAAACAAGTGGCCAGACAAACTTTAAAACCAGCCCTTGGATGGGGGTGGGGGATAACGATGAATTAAAAAACAATTAAAAAGCAACTATAAATCAGAGACATTCTGCAGGGGATGGGGAAGGAGAGGGATCAAAATAGGGGTAGGACCCCAGTGAGAATGGCACATCTTCAAAAAACTAGCAACAACAAATGTTGGCGAGGATGTGGAGAAAAAGGAACTCTCCTGCACTGCTGGTGGGAATGCAAACTAGTACAACCACTATGGAAAACTGTTTGGAGGTTCCTCAAACTGCTAAACATGGAGCTTCTTTACGACCCAGCAATCCCACTCCTAGGTATCTACCCAAAAGACACAAAAATGATTGAAAAAGATACCTGTACCCCCATGTTTATTGCTGCTTTATTTACAATTGGAAAAACATGGAAGCAGCCCAAATGCCCAAAAGTAGATGACTGGATAAAAAAGATGTGGTACATATATACAATGGAATATTACTCAGCAACCAAAAAAGAGAAACACATGTCTTTTGCAGCAACTTGGATGGAACTGGAAAAGATCATGCTTAGTGAGATAAGCCAGAAAGAGAAAGAAAAATACCGGATGGCTTCACTCATAGCAGGAGTATAATGGACCAGGTGGAAAATAACAAAAATAATGAACAACCATATACCAGAGACATTTTGCGGGGATGGAGTGGGGAATGGGATCAAAAACAGGGGGGGGAAGGGAAATGCACGGGATTATGGTGATGGCACATGGGTGACTTGGTGATGGGAAACCCGAGGGGATTACAATTGAGATGAAAAAAAAATTTGCAAAATGATGTAAAAATAGACTTTTGTAATAAAAAAAATAAATGCTTTCAAAGTAAAAAAAAAAAAATAGGGGTGGGAAAAGCACAAGGGACTATGGCGATGGTGGGGGGTAATGGTGATGGGAATTCTATGGGGACGACACCAGAGAGGGGAAAGCAAACATTGCATAAAAATGAACAATGATGGAAAATATATATAAATACCTAAATTATTTAAAAATAAATAAATAAAACCACCTTTTCAAAGGTGATCCTAGAGCTGAGGACTGGGGGGAGGGGGAGGAAGGCCATGCAGGGGGGAGGGGAGAGAGCATAACAGCTGAGTGCTTTGATGGTGGGAGAGCCCCGGTGCCCCCCCCCCCACAAAGTACTGACAAAGATGCAAAACAATGGTCCTTCACTAGCATAAAGAAAGGAAAAAGAGAGCCGGAGGGGGGAAAGACCAGCTTCTGCCTGTCCAGCCCCATCTGAGAGCACCTGGGCCTAGTCTTGGATGTTATTTCACAAACCCAAATCTTTCTCCTAGTTGTTGGATGCAAAGTAGTAAGATTCTTCTGGAAGAACCATCGTTTTTGTTTCTTTTCTTTTATTTAACCCAACAGGATTATAGTGCTTCTCTCCCGGAACCCATTACTTTTGAGTTGAGGACACGGAGACTCAGGCAACTGTACCTGGAGCCTCAGAGGTGGGTGGCTGAGGCTGAGCCAGAGAGATGGGAGCGCAGACTTGGCAGTTTCTGCTTGCAGTCTGTGGGGGCTGGGGCTCCCCAAGGAAGTCAAAGGCAGAATGTGACCTGCGAGGCAGGCAGACACCGGCAGACACCCCAAGCCCCTAGCCAGCCCCACCCCCGACCTCCTCCCACACCTGCCCTTCCTGCAGCCGCTGCCCCTCCTCCTCCCAGGCTCTGCCCAGTGCCCCCAGGCCCGCGGTGCTGCCTGCCACATCCCTGCCACTCTCCCTGTGCCTTCGGCCCTGCAGTCCATTCTCTGCATCTTAGAATCTGAGTTTTGGCCATGGAGATCATTCTCAGTGAGGGTGCTGGAGCCAGCAGGTGGATTCAAGGTTCAAGTTGACCAAGGACAGCTCTGTGGTCTCAGTAAGGCTGCTCAGACCCTCTGGGGTCTCCGTTTCCTTATCTGCAAGGCCAGCACCGCAGCAATGAGTTCACAGAGTTGACCTGATGAATCAATAAAATAATGTGGGAAGGTGTGACACAGTGCTGGCTCCATCAAGGGGTGAATGAGCATCAACTCCTTCCTCATCCCTCCCCCTCATCCCCAACCAGCTGCAAGTTTCTCAGAGTCCTCAGAAAGGAGGCAGCTCTCCCAGCACTCCCCCCACTGAGGCCCTGGGCCATTCTTGTGGGCTGATGGGAAGGACAAGGAGAGAGGTGGCCTCAAGGGCAAAGGGCCCTTCATGGATGTTCACGGGAGTTTCAGCCCCTCCTGTTATTGCTCAAGATTCAGCCTCCTCATCTGTCTTGAAGGTGCAGGTGCCTTTGAACACAAACTCCTCTACTTGGCGTAATGAGGATATAATTTGGAATCCAAGTGACAGGGACTCCACGTCCTCAGGAATTTGGATAATACGGACAAATACTAGCTTCATGGCATCCAGGCTGCCCATGATTTCTGTACTCTCTGGGAATGAGTTTCTCGTGGTCCTGATGACATCGCTCCCTCAATTTGCCCTACCCTTGTCTGGGTCTCCCAGGAGCAGAGTTCAAGGCTTTCCTCAGTTTCCACAAAAAAATCAAACCCTGGCCCTCCCTGGCAGTGCAGTGGGTTTTAAAGCACAGCACTGAGAAGCTAAAGCCACTTCCGCATAAGTTCGATCTCCGCCTGCCCCGGAGGTGACCACATGGCGCGGCAGACCTCTCCTGACCCGCCCGCTGCTCCCCTCAGCAGTGTACTTCGTCGATCTGCCTGTTCTGCTCCCCACTCTGTCTCTGGTGAAGCCTCTCACCGCACCTGAGCCTCTGACCTGTACCCCAGTTCTGTATGAACAAATAAATAAATCTTAAACCCAGAAACCTACACTAAGACACTGTGGACTTGAATACTCTCCGGGAGAGCCGAAGATCCACTTGCAGTTTCATTGTGAGGTGAGCAGAGTTCCACACGGGAAGCGTGGGACCGCTCCTCGGCTGCGTCAGCAAGTCAGCAATGCCTTCCCACAGCTGGCACAGAGCCACCTCACCTTCTGCCCGCTAGCATTTAAAGTGCTCTCCTAGGCCTCCCTGGTGGCACAAGGGGTTAGAGCGCAGCACTAGGAAGCTATCCACAGTCACTGCAGCAGGAGTTCAATCCCCATCCTGGACCAGGCAGCTGACCCGCATGGCACAGCCAACCTCTCCTGTCTTGCCTACGGCTCCCCTCAGCAGTGTATTTTGGTAGCTCCACCTGTTCTACTCCCCACTCTGTCTCTGGTGAATCCTCTCACCCACCACATTCCGGCCTGTACTTGTATGCATAATAAATATATCTTTAAAAAATAATAAAGTACTCTCCTGAACACTGTTCCTTCCCAGTGGGAATTCTAGTAGTGTCACTTTAATGAAATACTACTTTTCCACCCAACTTAATTGTAAATTCCCGGAATTCAGACCCTGTACCTTCGACTTTAATCTGTATCCCACGCTTCACCAGGCACAATACAGGGCTGGGGCACTCAGTGAACACATGATGAACTAAGGTGAACGAAATCAGAGGCCATAGAATGAAGCTGGGGGAAGAGGATCACTTTTTAGAAAATTAAAGACACTAAATATACAAAGGTTTCAGAAGGAATGCAAGGTCAGCGTCCGAGCGCCCCAACATCCCAACGCAGCAATCAAAAGGACCAAGCTGTGACCTAGTTGGTGAAAGTGTCACATAACACAGTGGAACCAGTAGAGCGTGGCTCTGTTCTGAGCTCCGCCTGCGCCCACATTCAAACCCCCGCTTCCTGGCAGTGGCAGAGAAACTCCCACTCTCCTGCCTTTTGCTCAGTCATACAGTGGGATGGCGGTAACGGACCAGGGTGGCAGGGGCCTCCCGGCCCCATTCTTTATTCACAGAGAAGCCCAACTGACATCCTTAAACAGGCGACTTGGGCCTGAGCCTCTGCGAGGCAGCTGTGCAGGCTGGCTGAGACCCCGAGGGCCACTTATGGAGAGTTCTGGCAAGAACCTCTCTGCCTCTTAGGGTCTGGCTGTGGCTATTTGGGTCACCATGTCTCCAGGGAAAATGCTGGAGGCCCTTTTTTTTTTTTATCTCTGAAAACCTGTGGTTATAGAAACAGAAGCTTGTCTCTCTTCAAGTCGACAAACCTTATTCTTTCAGGGACATCAAGAAACAAACAAGAAAGAATCTCAGACGCAAGTGTAGCTGCTGAGATGCTAGTATAACGGTCTAAGCGGGTAGCCTCCTTCCTGCCTTTGATGTGGCTGCTCACGCAGCACACACCTACAGGCAGCAGGCAACTGCTCTCAAAGGATACTTGCTTGCTGGTGACGGTTTCCACCCAAAATTAGGGGTAAGGGAGGATGCTCATACACTGTATACTGATTTAAGGTCTGAGACCACTCCCCCCGCCCCCCAAATAACTAGAGTTCACAGCTTCCAGGAAAGTCCTGTACAGCCGTCTGTCCCCCCCCAGCCCAGCCTGCCTGGCGCTGCCCACCACCCCAGGCCATGTCCCCCATTATTTCTCCGCAGCGCAGGTCCAGTCCAGTCACACGGGTGCCCAGCCAGGGACGACCTGTATCAGCTTCCCCTGGAGCAGGGTGGCCTTGTCATGATGTCCTGGCCGCAGGAGGCGCAGGGTCCTCCCTTCCACTACTGTTGTCACGCTCGCCGGAGTGGGAGTCCCTCAAGAGGAGGAGTTGGCTTTGTGCAAAGAACACTAGAGCACCTGGTGCCCATGGGAGCTCCCTCTCTGAAGAAAAGGCCTTGCTAGAAAGGGGGAGCCCCAGAACTCACTGGCAGGTGTCAACTTGTCTTCTACTGAGCCATCCCAGACTTGCTGAGCCAGCCTTTTGCAAATCTACTCTAAAGGGCCCTCTTTTCAAATGAGCCTCCAGCACGCTTCCCTCTGAGTCAGAAGATTTGAAGTTTACATTATTCACGCCAGCACAGACAAGTATTTCTGAACATGGCATAACTAGCGGTCCCACAGCCACACACCATCCAGGCCTCACCCACAGCATAATCCAGCAAGAGTACATTGTCCGAACCAAAAGGTTAGACTGCGATAAAGAAGCTTCAGAACAATAGAGAATAAGTGTTACTGTAAAACTCTGAAATTCACAGTGGACATCAGGATGGATATGTGACAGAGGGCCTGGACAACTGTCATTAGAACAAGATTTTGAGGAATAAATATGTTCTTGTGTGGTTCATTTAAAGTGAACCATGCTGAGAGACCTCGCTGGCATGTCATCCCTCACTGAGCTCGCTTTTAGTGGTGGCCACTATGGCCTCAGAGTGTCTCAGGTGGGCAAGAGCATCTCACACATTTCTTAAAGCAGCCTGAGTCATGGGCCCCAATGTGAGCTGTATGGCCCGCCAAGACTTATGGACACACCAATTTCTCATCAAGCCACTCTGAGAAGTGTGGAGCATGAAGAGAGCTCTCTCTCATTTTTGAAATAGGCCAGGATGAAACATGTAGAGTCTCATCTGTACTCTATCTTATCTTATCTGTACGGGGTTGCTGCCCCGAGAGAGGGCCATGTGGGGTGAGGACCACTGCTTCCTCGGCCTCTGAGAAAAGCCCACATTTTATCATGAGTGACAAGACGTTTTAGTGACTGGTGCCTTACCCTGGTCCCTGCGAGGACTCTGGATTGGACAGCTGAGTTCTGTCACTTGTTCTATGTGACCTTTAATTTCTTTGCTTCCTCACTTGTTAAGCAAGGTACTGACACTATTGATGCCATCTGTCTGCATGAGGATTAAATGAGCTTCCATGTAGCTGGCACTTAGTAAGCAAGTAATGCTTCAGATAAAGAGCTTATGTCTTAGACTGGTTAAACGAGTCGTCCTGGCCAATAGAGAGGGTAGTGTGGGCTCCAGGACCGTGGATCACAACTTGTAAGCTCTAAGCTATGCAACTTTGCCACCAGCAATGGCAATGGGCAAGGAGAGAGGTCTCTGGGGAATGGTCTCGGATGTGGATGGTATGCCCACAACAAGATGGGCATATGGTCTGTTACATCTGGTTGGTGGACAGGTAGTTGACTCTGCCACAAATGTCAGGTGAGGTTCACCAAAGAACCCAGATGCCGCCTGGAGGCCACCCCTCTGGGGGTACTGCTGGGCGATTTCTGGTGGGAAGGATTACCTGGCTGGACCCCTGCTCCGATCACTGGTCACCTGGAAAAACCCTTCACATAGACGCCGGAGGAGTACCCTTGGAATGGATTTTCCTGTGGGTGCAGGGAGAATGTCAGGGTTTCAGAATGCCTGGTGAACAGCACCTGGTCCTTCAGGCCTGCCCATACCGAGGCCTGGACATGGCTGAGCTGGTGAAGAGTCTGGTCTATTCTGTGTCCAACCTCAGGTAGAGAGTGGGCTTGCTCCATCTACCTTCCCCTCCTCTCAATAACAGGAAAATGACACTTCTTCCTAGATAAAGATCAGTCAAGACCTAATCCTACAAATGAAGAGGATGATTGCTCTTATCCATAAGGTCATGGAGGATCAAAGCAGACAGAGTTGAAATTGCTTTGCCAAGAACAAAATTGTGACACAATGTACATCATTAGTCTCAGAGCCTCAGCCTAGGTCTTAGAAAGTCAACTCTAGAACCCTCTGACCTGCTATGGATTCCGTCCATGAAGTGTGACCCTTGGTTCTATTCTCTTTTTTATTGCTGAGCAAGTGTTTCATGTCTCATCACCACAACAAGTGTAGGAAAACACACTTCTTCCCAGCTCCCTCCAGCTCTGGTGACTGATGGAGACTTCCTGGTGGTAGAGAACCTTCCACGGTGTCTAGCATGGACCTGGAGTCAGGCCCTGCCCCGGCCTTCCCTTGCTCAGACTCCCTTGCAGGTGGGAAGGGAGAGGAAGTGTCATGCTGTGGACACTTGAGCTGTGGGTCTGACTTCATCACTGGGTATGGCCCCTCACCTGTGAACCAGGCATTGTCATGCCCACCTGCTCATTCTGTGCAGAGGGCTCTGCCTGGAGGCATGTGGGCAGCTTATAGAAACTACAGATAAAATGAAGTGTTGTTACCAGAGGGCGGGCCATGACAGAGCCATGGCCCGGGGGAGGGGCAGCCAGCACCCCATCATCAGCGTGGGAAGCTGGCACACTCCCAGGGCACTCACCTGACTTCATGCATTTGTGCCCCGCGTGGAAGGCCTGGGAGCGGTTGCTGATAGGGTTGCTGACAGTGCAGATGTAGGTGTTGTCTGCATGCTGAGGGCCCAGAGTGAGGTGGAGGCGGTTGGACCCGATGGCTGGGCTCAGTGGGTGGGCGCCTGCCACCTCACGCCAGCCAACAGTCACTTGATCTCCCGTCTCCACGAGGCAGTCCAGCGTCAAGCTGCAGTTCCCGTTCTCCTGGGTGTGGCTCACCACCTTAATTTCTGGTGTGGAGACCTGCTCTGTCAGGAGAGGGAAGAAGGAGTCATCACTGAAACGCACCCCTGGGATTCTGACTTGATCTTCTTGTCAGAAGCCAATGCAGCTATACTGGCTTTTCTCCTCCCTGGGGGGTCTTCTGGGTGCTTTATTTCAAGTGGGGACCTACTGCCTCACACCAGTCCTCTCTCCACCTACACTCTGTACCAGGGCCATCTGGGTATAGAAATGTGTCTTTTAGTCCTCTCCAACCAGTCCTATTAGGGTTTCACTTGCCCTTCCCGATGCTTCTGGGTCCGTTTGCTCCCCTGGACTTTGCCCACAAAGCTCGCAGTCAGGTTATCCTCCATAGACTGTCCTTGCCACTGGCTAAGTGTCCCCTCCTGGATCTAAAAATGATTCTTTAGGGGTGTGATTTTGTGTGTGCGTGTGACAGGTCCTCTAGGGCACCCGCGTAGTGTCTGCTCCAGGCCCCAGCAACCTGCTTCGCTTCTAAGGTCATGAAACGGGCAAGTTCTATTCTTCACCAACTGCCACAGGAGGGGCACAATGCTGGAAGTTCACCTCATCATCTATACCCTTTCTCAACCATGATCACCTAATTACTTGGTAGCTGAGATAACTGAGTCCCAGAGAGGTGGAGCGTCTCACACAATCTCACACACTTTCTGAGCAGCCAGAAGGTGAGCTTAGGTCTGTCTGACTCCAACATCCAGCCTTTTTCTTTGACTTGAGGAGAATACCACGGTTGCAGAGATCATATTTTTCAAGGTGAGAATTTGACCATAAAATAGGACAGCGGGGACAGAGGCAGGCAAATGTCCTGGGACATGCATGTCGTGTGGGCTCCCAGCTGACTACAGCCCTGTCCCAGGACAATGGTAGAGTGACCACAACTTGTGGGTGCCTAGAGGAGCACTGTGGGAAGGCTAACTCTAGCAGTGTGGCTGTCTCTTCTGTAGGTGAGGAATGTCAGGTGAGGGGCTTCTGTCCCACATCAGAGATAAGGAGTCACTGTGCAGAAAAGCACAGCCCAGGAGGCAGCCAAGGTTGCCAGGAATTAAGGGGACCTATGGGCCTCAGAGACACAGACTTGGGTGCATTCGAGGAGGGTTGGCAGTTAAAAGAGTCTCAACACGGATATGCCTACGGTTCAGTTGAAACTCGAGTCTATATAAGTTGGGCAACTAAGGGATTTTAAAACCAGAAATTTTGTCTGTGTGAGCAAAGATGCCTCCTCCCCAGGAAGATGTAATCTCTGTGGGGTCAGGGCTAGGCAGGCAGTATGTGGGCTGAGGTTTGGCTCATCTTTCCCCAGAACTCCTGTGCAGTGAGCACCACAGAGGTGTTTGCACTCCATACAAGTCACCCTGTCCTCATCTATGAAAGAGTAACTAAACTTGGCTGTGGTATTCAGTTTTTAAAAATCAGGAGAAAAAGGACCCTCCCTGGTGGCACAGCGGGTTAAACTGCAGCAATGTGAGGCTACCCACAGCCACTGCAGCACAAGTTCAATCCCCAGCCAGGGAGGTGACCTCCATGGTGAGGCAGACCTCTCCAGACTCGCCTGCTGCTCCCCTCAGCTGTGTATTTCAGTAGACCACCTGTTCTGTTCCCCACTCTGTCTCTGCTGAGTCCTCTCACCACCCACCCCCGCACCTTTGGCCTGTACCCCAGTTCTTGTATGCACAAATAAATACATTTTGATGGGAAAAGAGCCTTTTTTTTTTTTTCAAACTATTTTCCATTCTCCAAGTAGCCCAAAGAATCCCCTTCCAATGATAGAAGTCTGCCTTATTTTCACACAGACTCTTGGGGATCCAGGCCCCTGAGCCCACAACCCACAACCTGCTGAGCTCTTAAACGAGGGTCACTAATGCTCTATGGCTACGGTCAATATACAGTCTGGACCAAGTAATATGTGAAGCTCTAAAACTTCTTCCTGAAACCCAGTTTAATACACTGAGCTATTGCTCTTCCAGTCGTTCCCAATCCTGAAGCCCCCTTGCTTCTGAAAGAGGCCTGAATTTTGGGGCAAGGAGCCAGCCCACCCTCCAGGAGGGTCAGGGAAGCCTCCACTGGTACCATAGAGCTTCAGCTGCAGGCAGAATAACTGGACGGAGACATTTTCTTCCTGGGTCATCGTGTACCAGCCCTCATCTTCCTTCTTGCTTTCTAGGATCTCCAGGCTCAGGTCTTCCAAGTGAAATTGATAGCGATTCTCCAGGTAGCCAGGAGAATCCCCTTCCATTTGATGAAAAGACACAATTTTCTTCTTGACACTGCTTCCTGGTGATTCCGCCACAGTAACAAGGATGTGCTTGCTCTTGTTCATTGTTTTATTCTCTCCAGATGTGAAAGGCAGCAGCACGCTGTGTCCCAATGCCCCTAGGATCTTTGGGCAATTCATCGAGCCCTCACCTATAGGAGGAGAAAAGAGTTCACGTTATGGGAACTTTGCGAATCACACATCTATGGGACAGGGATGGTAGGCGGAAGCTCTCCTCTTCCTCTTGTGTGGCCCCTTGAGACCGGTCAGGACTGTCACCAAGACCTCACTATAGTCTCAATATTTCAAAACTCCCAGTGGAAACCTTAAAATGACTGTAGAGTTGTGTGACTAGAAACCAGGCTTCTTTATTCTGGTAGAAAAATTCTATCAACTAAGATTTAAAGTTACAGCATCGAAATTGCACATAACTGAGGGGACTTCCCCAAAGTCTACACAGCTTGTGACTAGTAACTAGGCTGGAATCCAGGCAACTCCTCCATTAGATGTCTTATGCCCCTTGGATATGTGATGAGGATGGGGAGTAACTGGGAGTGATGATGAGCTCGTGAGCCAGGAGACCAAGGCTATGGAGTAAGGACAGGGGCAAGAGATGACAATAAAGGAGGAAAGACAGGGATCAGGTGAAGAGGTGAGGTACTCAAGCTCTGGAATCCTCTCTCTCCAAAACACTGTTGAAATCATTAATAATGAAGTGCAGATTTACTTAGTTCTCTCTCTTTTTAAAAACAAAAACATGGAGCCAACAGCAGTAAGCAAAAAAGAGAGAGAGTTCCAAAAACCCAAAACCTGTCAAACCACTGTGTGGGATATACTGCTAATTACTTAACACCTTCTGTCTCTTCAAACCCACAACCTCAGCTGATGACCCTGCTTCTTTTTGCCCTGAAAAAGCAGAAGAAACTGAGAACTTCCACTTAGTGCCACCACCAAATCAGCCACCTCCATGGGAGCGTCTAATGCGCTCAGGTAAGAGTAGCCTCTCCGGGGAGCACTCTCCCACTCAGGGCTTTGCTGAATGGCCACCACCCTTTGCATCCTCGCCTTTACTGCTGGCATTGTAGATTGTGGGTTATTTCCATTCACAAACAGTATGTCAACACATCACCTCCCTCACCTTCAAAACCCTCCCTGATCCCAGGTCTATCTCTAGCAATCTCCCATTTTTCTGTTTTTGTTTACTCCAAAACATGAGCTCCAAGCTCCTGTAATATGAGTTTACATTTTCTGCCCTCATTTCCTGACCCACTTTTCCTTGGACCTAGTCGAAGCAGGTGTTTTTCTTTGCTATTCGTTGAAACCACTTTTGTCAAGGTCAACAAAGACTCCGTGAGGCAAGTTATTCCTCCGCCCTCATCTTTTTTCAGAAGCACTCAACAGAATCCATCACTGCCTCTTTGAAACATTGTCTTACTTTGGCTCCTATGCCACACTCTTCTGGTTTCCTTCCTATGTAATTAGCAGCCGTTTCTCCATCTTCTTGACTGGAAATTCTACTCTTCAAAGTCTCTATTAGAGCACCTCCAATTTAGCAAGCTCTTGCTTCCATAGTCCCTACTGCAAGCCATATTACGAGTCCCTTAAATTCTCAGGCTCAAGTATTGGGAACATCCTAGACTCTATTCTTCTCTCACACTTAACTTTCATTCTTTTTTTTAAAGATTTGTTTATTTATGCATACAGAACTGGGGTACAGGTGAGAGGTGCAGCGGGAGTGAGAGGATTCACCAGAGACAGAGTGGGGAGCAGAACAGGCTGACTGATGAAGTACACTGCTGAGGGGAGGAGTGGGAGGGTCAGGAGAGGTCTGCCGCGCCATGTGGGTCACCTCTGGGGCAGGGATCGAACTCGCACTGAAGTGGTTGTAGCTCGCTTGCAGTGCTGCACTTTAACCTATTGTGCCACCAGGGAGGGCCAGCACTTAAAGTTCACTCTATCAGCAAATCCTAATGGCCCCACCTTCAAAAAATGTCTGGCATCTGAGTGAAACGCCTTCATTTCTAACCACCACATTCACAGACCAGGGCATTGTGCTCTGCCTGATCTTAAAGACACCAGGAGCATTTTTATACCAGAGATTTTGCACTTGCTGTCTACTACCCCTGGCCACCTCTTCCCTCACCCATACAGATAGCTCATTTCCTCACATATTTTTGGTTTCTGCTCAAAGTTTATCTTCCCTAAGTGAACTCCTCTGCCCATCCTATCTAAATAGCACCCCCTTATCCCTGCCTGGTGTTATATATTAGTTTAGTTTAGTTTTGTCTTCCTCCCCTGCACAATAAACTCATCAAAAGCAAGAATTCAATCATTTTCACTGCTTTGTTCCTAGGGCCTACAGTGCTTGGCACATGATAGACTTTTAATAAATGTCTGTTAGATTTAGGAATGCCAAAAACCATATAATGTGACTAAAACCTCTCTCGTTTCACTTTGTCCATATCTAATGTTCATGAAAGGAACTCTTGACTCAGAGAGAGAGCATAGATTGTTCTAGTTGATTAAAAAAAAAAAAAGACTGTTCTAGTGGTAAAGCACCCACTTAGAAAAGACATGATAGTTAAGATGGGTTGTTAGGATTTTGGACAAACTGGTTAAAATCTTGGTGCCAAAATGCCCTGAATTGCCAGCATTGGCCTATAAAGGGGCAGTTATCTGACTAGAGCATCAAGATTGAGGAAAAGGAAAAGCAGCCATAAGAATTGAGGTGGTTGAGGTTCATGATTATTAACGAAAAGTGAGAAAGACTAGGAGACATCTGTTCTTTTCAACATTGCTAATACCTTTTTTTTAATTTTAATTTTATATATTTTTTACATCATTCTTCACTTTTTGAACAATGTATGTATGCCTTTCATCTCGGTTGTAGACCCTGTGGCCTTCCCAACACCAGTTCCCAACACCATGTGCCATCACCATAGTCCTGTGTGCTTGTCCCACCTCTGTTTCAATGCTACTGCCCTCTCTTCCCGCTGCTCCTGGAGATTGTCTCTGGTTTGTAGTTATCCGCTGGTTTTTATTTCACTTCACTGTAATTGCCTTTTTTTTTTTTCCTGACCCCTCTATCCTCCTAAACGTGAAACCATCCGGCATTTTTCTTTTTCTTTCTGGCTTATTTCACTAAGCATGATCCCTTCCAGCTCCATCCACATTGCCACAAATCGCATGAGTTTATCTTTTTTTGATTGCTGAATAATATCCCACTGAGTACATCAACTCTTAAAGTGTTGTTATCTAATTGATTAGATGAAGCATGACGTGGTTGGAGTTGTTTTAACAACGACAAATTGGGGAGCCACATTCATGAATGTCCGATTCTCCAGACAATGTGGTGGGGGCCATACCCCAGGAACCCCTCAAATCATGAACTTAAACTTCTATACAGAAGGAGATGGTGCATACGCAAGCCAGACATGCAAGTAGACAAGTCAAGAGGTGCAAGGGCCCCCAGAAATGGTGGGCAGAAGTTGTGAGTTAAGCATATGTACATTTTCCTCAAGTGCCCTCCTGAACGCTGTCTCTCACAGGGTCCCAAGGTTCAAAACAAGAATAAGAATCACTATGGCACTGTTGATTTTTTGGGATTCATTTGGTTTGAAGAAAAAACTGATGGCAATGATTCCATTCTCAGGTCATAACTCCCTCACCTCCCAGGTCCCCTGTCCCGCCCTCAACTAATCCACAGGCTCTTTGAGCCCAAGCTGTGGGGAATGAGAAGAGGTAATGATATAGAATAAAGTAGGGAGTAGTAAAGAAAAATTTCAAAAAAAAGAAAGAATACAGGAGGAAAAGAGAAAAGAGGGGGCGGAGTGCTGTGTACACACTCGTCACCGGGAGTGGAATCTCAGCCTCACCAGGAAGAGACCCTCGCGCCACCACCCACATGAAGAGTGACGATGCAGCTGAGTGAGTGAGAGGCTGGGTCCTGGGGGTGGGGAGGCACTCGAAACTAAGTAAATGTGGAAAATAAGTGGGAGCTTTAATGTGGCTCATAAAGCCCTTCAAGGGGAGCCGCTGCTCCTGAGCCCCCCGCCTGCCGAGGGTTTCCCAGTGGGCTGTGATTCAGTCGGCCCTGAAGAGTCTGCAGGAAACATTTGCACTGTGAGCACCAATTCACTTTCTCCGTGGGTAATTCAACCTAGAGAGCAGAGTGATTCACACACAGCAGGGACATTTTCCGAAATCAGAAGTACTTGGACAATCCTTGCACAACACAGGAGACTCCCTAAAAATAACCCTTTGCTTCAGCCAAGCCCCCTTTCACATGTGCAGGCAACACTCACCAAGGCCTTTCAGTCAGGCCAAGAGGCAGGCCTTCTCTACTGGCCTCACAGTTCCTGTGGACACGCTGGGGCCAGAAAGAAAGCGCGAGAGCCTAAGGCTGCAGCCGGTTCCCATGCCTACGTGCTGCTGGGACTCCCGGAATATTTGTATTCACTGCTCCCCAAGTCGACAAACCTCTCTCACCCTTTACTTGCCTGGCTGGCCGTTCCCACCGTCTGGCCTCTGGTCCTGGCCCTGTCCTAGACAAGGCTTCCCTGCCATGTGGGCTTTGCAGTTCTCCTCTGTTTCAGCCAACACATTTTTAAACTCCAGTTCATCCTTACTCAGCCATTAGTTTCCAGGTATAGGGCTGTTTTGTTCATTATTTTTTTTTTATCTTAACATCCAAATGGGATAGGTAGGAACTCAATAAGTCTTGTTGCCCAAAAGAATGAAAAAAAAAAAAAAAACGAGAGGGAGGAAGGTAGGAGGGAGAGGATGGAAGGGAGGAAAGAGAGGGAGCAAGGAAAAATTACAACAGAGGCCAGGTACTCCTTTTTCCGAAGTCAGAATGCATTTGGGTTTTCCTGCTACTGTCTTTAAGAGGAAAAGCACAGAGGATGGTGGGGGTCTTCTTTAGGCACGCTGGACCACTTACCACCCCCAACCCCAATATTCCATTTGCACGTTCTGCATTTGCACGTTCATCTCCATACGCTTTTCAAGTCCAATAAAACCCAAGGTATACATGTGCAAGGAAGGGCAAGAAACCTCTGACAGCACTTGCTTCCAGAGAGGAGACAGAGGGACAGATTAATCTCCATGCTATATTCTTTTGCACATTGAAGTATTTTAGACCCACATGTGATACTCTTCCAATACACAAGCTGGCTAACAAAAAGACTAAATGAAAACTCACACGATGAAAGATGTTCCTATCCACTTTCCAAATTTCAGATCAAACACTTCCCTCTGCCATTTATTTCCTTCTATGATTTGATCAACTTCTCTTACCTTTTAAAAATTCTTATACTCGAATTCATTCTGTTTCTTTTACAATCGACTCATGTGCTTCAATTGCAGATAACATTCTAAGCTAAACATCAGCTTCTCGTGTCACCCTCATTAAGGTTATGTGACTATTGAGAGGTGACTAAACTATTCTGTGCCTCTTTCTCATTTACAAAATTGCAATGGTAACAATAATAAATATTTCATGGGGCTGGGGTGAGAATTACGTGAATAAAACCATAAATACCCGTACAGAGCAGCGTTTGGTATAGAGCAAGTATACTGACCATACTATTTGTTACTCATTCAACAAACATTTGTGGATGGGGTTTCATGCACTAGACACTGTTTCCTTGCTAGGCAGAGCCTGTCATTCCTTTTGCTTCTCTGACACCTCACAAGGTACCCACCGCGCCATGTGTCCTTAACGAATAGCAGCTTAGTGGAATTGTCCGAATGACTTGTATTAAACCAAATCGCCCAGATGTTTTGCCTGCACGACAGCACTGGAGACAGTCAAGATGATGGTTTTATGTCCAGGTGAAAGCTTTTGAGAACTCACTCTGCATCTTGAGAGAGACTGAGCAGGGAGCATGGGAGGCTGGGTCAACCAAGCCTAGAAGCTGCATTTGCCCCTTGTCTCTTCTCTGTGGGTGTGAAGGAAGCAGGGAGGACCGGTGTGGAAGAAAAAGAACTCCCACTGGGTAGAGCATCCATTGTAACAGATGCACCGTCTGGTGGGGGCTGTCGCTCGTGGGGGCGGCTATGCATGTGGGGGCAGGGGAAATCTCTGTACCTTCCATTCAAGTTTTCTGTGAACCCAAACTATTCTGAAAATAAAGTCTAGTTTAAAAAATAGCATTGGGGGAAATGGAAAATTCACTTTATTGGGGAAAGGGACACGTGGACTTTTCGATTTTTACAATTCTGACTGAGTTGAAAAGTGAGCTGAGTAGTGCTGGGAAGGGGGGTGGTGCTGATTTTACAAGAATTAGGCTCCTTGGTTGGGTAAATCTGTCATGGCTGACCTGTCCTCATTTGCAAAACATTACTGTCTGGGTTTTATTGGGGTTTCACAAGAGGATGCACTTTTAAAAATAAAAACATTGTGAAAGTTTTTGTGAATTTCAGAGAAGATGTGAAAAAGAAGGGGGCTGTGCAAACTAGACAGGCCAGTCTGTTGGGACAGACCCCCAAACCTTCAGCGGACAGCTGCATCCAGGCCCCTGTGGGCTAGAGTGACCAGGAGAGTATACGGGGATAAAGCCCAACCCGGGGTCCCACCCATCACTCTGGGTGGACCCCAAGACACCTCGCAAAGGTGACAGCATCACACATGGCACCTCCAAAGGAAGGCTTGGCTTTTCCTGCAACGCTGGCAGTGGCTGGACCTGGCTTTCTGAGCCATGAGAGCAGCCATTCCTCTCTTAGGGCTCGGGAAGCCAGCAGCCTGGGCCTGCCTCACTTGGAGGGAAATTAGAACAAGGCTGACTGACACTTCATTCAGGAGCCTGGTACAAGACAGACCCCAAGTTCTTGCCTCCCCAACCTGACCCCAGTGACACCCCAACCCCCACGACTCCCATCCCCAGCACACCTCTGGGCTTTTCCTGGAAAAGTCCTTAATGGATTTGCGGTCTTGAAAACCCCAAGCGCAAAACACCCAGAGCCTCAGGACTTCCCCCCTTCCCTGATGCCACTTCTACTCCTAGCCGGCTTTCACGGTCTCACCAAAGTTCCAGGCATGCAGCGTAAAGGAAAGTCTCACTTTGCTCCCCAGGGAGCCCCAATCTCACTTCTGGCTTAGTCTTTTCTCTCTCAGATGTCTTTTCTCATGCCAACGCCAGGAGCAGGGAATGCCAGGTCACCTTTCTGAGCAAGACCAGCCAGAAAGAAGGGAGCAGAATTCAGCCCCAAAGCTCTGCGCTGGTCCCCACCACGAAACTACCCTGAGGCTTCCTCATTTGCATTTCCCAGTTGCTGATGCAGCTCTCAGCTCCAGAAATCCTGGCCTCTAACCTTTTGGCTGCCTTGGAACCTTCTCTTCCAGGAAAGTAGCCACCAGTATGACCACACTGTGGCCACTGTCAGTTCTCAACCCAATGCCTGGTGTTTTCACTTCTACCTTCTCTTCTCGCTACAACCCTTCCTGTTGTTAGACCTGTTTCTGGTTGCGTTTCTGGGTTGTCTGCTTGTGTGTGTGACCACCCCCTTCTGGGGCAAGGGTCAGTCTCTTCCCAGAGCCCCGTTTCTGTAGCTCAGTCTCCCGGCCTTTGTCAGGTCTCTGTCAGGAGATGAGCCTGCAAAACCAGCCACTCTACCAGCCTCGGGTGTGGAACCTCTCACCTGAATATGATTGGAGCTCTTGGCTTACGAGTTCTGCTTTCCCTGGAAGTTAGAATTGATGGCACTAAGCCTTGGGATCCCAGGACTCACAAACTTCCTTCCTCTTTGAAAGAGACAAATGAAACTCAAAGCCATACTCCAGGAGGAGACAGTGGAACCTTGGTCCCCAGGCCCCAGACCCTGCTATCATCTCCTCTCCTCGTCTCCTCGCTACACATGCCACTCGCTAGTTCTTGGCAGAACTCAAACCCCCAAGCAGATGAGCACTCACCTGTTGTGCAGCTCAGCTCAAAAGCCAGGAAGAGAAGCAGCAGGAGGTTGGAGGGGAGATGCCGCTGGGGATCCATCAGTCCTGAGCAGAGGGGCAGTCTGCTCACAGACGCCACTGCAGTGACTGAGCACAGAGCCGGCTCTGCTAGTGACTTTGTGTCAGGAACCAGCAGCTTCCTGTGTCCCGGGGACTTTTTCTTTTCGCTCGTGTCTGGGGATTGCTCATCTGCTTTCAGACCTGAAATAATTTTTTTTTTTTTTTTGTTCCCCAGAAATTCGAGCCAAGTGCTTACAACACTGGAACTGGGAGGAGAGCTGTGTCACTTAGCCCAAACTCAGCCATGGCAGAAATCCTTCTCTCCCCTTTCCTCAGCTGTCTCAGCAAATGGACAGTTCTGTCTGGTAACTTTTTTACTGTTAAAGAAAAGGTGGAGTCTTGTCAGACCACCCCCCAATTTGTATTAGTTTCTTCAAAGCTGGGCTTGGGTGACTGAAGTTTATGGAACAGCTGGACCTCTTTCTTTGTTCTGATTTGTTCCTCAGGTTCAAAGAACACTCCTCTCTGCATTCCAGCCCTAACGCCAAAGTCACAGACTAGGGTGGGACCAGCATATCCGTTGGCAGAAACCAGTTTCCTTCTGGACACAACATGGTGGAATTTAGGGAACCCCACTTGTGTTTGGAGGGACCACCTTTATTTGAGGACTTGAAGAGAAGGGACTGGAATCGACAAACGAAAGCCTCGGTGTTCCTGCAATAAACTGAAAGAAGGAAGCCCTGGAAAGGTGCTGGTATGGGACTAGCAAGACTTTAGAGGCCAGCGAATGTTTTTAAAGTTTATTGTAACAGGTCCAAGGCAATGTCCAGTGTGCTGCTGTAGGGAGCTAGTGACACGTGTGAGCGTGTTCGTTGTCCACTGCTTTCCCCTCTCACCTGGGACCTGCTATCCTCTCCCCAGCACTGTCTGACAGCTCTTGGGAGAAGGCTTGGCTAAATTATCAAGAATGTTGTAAGTTATTTGACTAATAAATGTTACTAGAACTGGCCCTCCCTGGGGGCACAAAGGATTAGGACGAAGCACTGCAAGCTGGCCGCAGCTGCTTCAGTGCCAGTTCGATCCCTGCCCTGGAGGTGACCCACATGGCACGGCAGACCTCTCCTGACCCACCCGCTGCTCCCCTCAGCAGTGCACTTCGTTGATCTGCTGTTCTGCTCCCCACTGTCTGGTGAATCCTCTCACCGCCCCTGCATCTCTGGCCTGAACCCCAGTTCTGTATGCATAAATAAATAAATCTTTTTAAAAATTGTTACTAGTATTTTAAACTTCAATTAATGTACTATAAACTTCAATTAAATTAGATTTAAAAACTAAGGAAATTAAAAAGCCAAAACTCATTACTTCCTAGTTGTTGGCTACTATTTATGTTCTTAGAACGTTACACTGATTGTATCTCTGGTGGAAATAAAATACCAGACCACGTGAGCTGCTTCACCTCTCCGTCCAGCTCTGCATTTAACTGGTAGCTTGAGCGGACCGTGGTAGGAGTATGTAAACCATGGGGATTGGCAATTGCTATAAATTAGTGCTTTGGTTTTGTTGTTGTTGATTGTCTAAATATAAGAGTGAGAGCAGCAGTAAGAAGGGAGTTTAACTTTGAAAAGTGGGTCATGATGTAGCTTTTCCATTCTCAATAGTATAAAAATTAGAGGAAATACTTTTCCAGTATTCAAAAACTATCTTTTCAGGAAAAAAAAGCTTATAGTGTCACAAGCAGTTATGTTCTTGTTGCTTTACAAAGGTGGGAATGGGATGAAATATTAGAAGTGTTGAGAGAAAAATAGCTCCCACCTAAAATTCTGTATCCTGTGAAATAATCCTTCAAAGGTGAAGGAGAAATTGATACTTTCTTGGACAAACAAAATTTCAGGGAATTTATTGCCAGTAGTTCTACCTTGGAAGACATGTTAAAAGAAATGCTTTAGAGAGATGGAAAACAGGACAGATCAGGAACTCAGATCTACATAGAAAAAGAAGAGCTTCAGAGATGGAGTAAGTGCAGGGAAAGTGTGCTTGGGTTAGTTGTAAATGTGTATCGCAAAACTAAGACAGCCACTAGAGGAGCTTTTTAAAAAGGAGAGAAAAATGATTTATCTTTTTTGATAGTTGAGTAGCATTCACTGAATGCCATTTGCAGCAACATGGATGGAGCTGGAAGGGATCATGTTCAGTGAAATAAGTCAGAAGGAAAAATAAAACTATAGAACAGATTCACTTATATAAGAGGACCAAATAAGATATAGGGGGTGGAAAGTGTATTGTTATTACAATATACAACAAAACAAAACAAAAACAAACAGACAACTATACACCAGAGAGGTTCTACAGGGGAGGGGGACAGAGAAGGATCAAAAGGAGGGAGGGATGTGGGGGGCTGTGGGGATGACTGGTGGGTGAAGTGGGGGAGGGAGAAGTATACATTGTTTTAAAATGAAAAATAATGTGAATAGATATATAAATTAAGAAAAAATAAAAAGGAGATAAAATGGAATCATATACAGTGCTTAATTAAAACTACAGAAGACAAAAAAAAAATAAAAACTACAGAAGGCAGAAAAAGAATAGAAGCCAGTAATAGAAATATATAAGGGCTAACCCAGAAAATAGTAACAATCATGGCAGATGTTAATCCTACTATGTCAATTGTCAATGGTCTACAATGCTCTACAGGTGAGAAAATTGTCAATGGAATATCAATGGTCTACAGGTGAGAAAATAATAATAATAATGAACAACTATATACCAGAGACACTTTACCAGGATGGAGTGGGGGATGGGATCAAAAACAGTGTGGGGAGGGAAGTGCGCTGGACTATGGTGATGGCACAGGGTGATTTGGTGATGGGAAACCCAAGGGATCGCAACTGAGATGGAAAAATGCACAAAATGATGTAAAAATAAACTATTATGTTATTTAAAAAAGAAAGAAAGAATATCAATGGCTTAAGTGTACAGAATGATCTCAAAAGACAGAACTGTCAAAATGAATTTAAAAAATCAACATCTAACTGTATGTTGTGACCCACTTTAATACATACAGATTAAAAGTATTGGGATAGGGCCCTCCCTGGTGGCACAGCACTAAGGAGCTAAAGCCACTTCAGCATGAGTTCGATCCCAACCGGAGGTGACCACATGATGCAGCAGACCTCTCCTGACCTGCCCGCTGCTCTCCTCAGCAGTGCACTTTGTCAGTCAGCCTGTTCTGCTCCCCACTTGTCTCTGGTAAAGACTCTCACAGTCCCTGCACCTCTGGCCTGTACCCTAGTTCTGTTTGAATAAATAAATAAATCTTTAAAATAAATTTTAAAAATTTTAAGAAGTATTGGGATAGAGAAAGATGAAACATGTTAACACTGATCAAAAGAAAGCAGAAGTGGCTATACTAATCTTAGAAAGAGCAGACATCAGGGGCCTCCCTCATGACCAT